AAATGGCTGCAAAGGCATATGCCTGATCACACCAGAAATGGTCACCTTAATAGGAAAGGTCTCCCCTGAAGCAACCCTTGGAGAGTCACTCCAGCCTGGCCCTCAGAAGTAGAAGTCCTACATCTGGACCAAAAAAGGTCCAGTTTGGGCATTGACTGGGGCCAGGTTGGAGTGCATTTGCCCACATGTTATGTGATCACCAGGAAATAAATCACACCAAATAGCTTTGCAAGCAGTCCAAATTGAGATCTATCTCCCAGTGTGGTCACACCCTAAGTTACTTGTGAGTGAAATCTTCTGCCTTTTCCATTTCAAGTAATAAAATGGGTTGTATCCTGTTTGTACTCATTAGTAGATTATTTCCAGCAGACATCTTTAATCCAAGCCCTTCCTGCCTTGCAGATCTGTTATAACTATTTGCTGGGTGCAGATCTGCAAACCAGGAAGGATGTGCAATGCTTCAGACAAGACCCCTGACCTAGCAGAGCTGTATTGTTTCATATGGCAAGTTCGCCCTCTTACTTAAGTGATTTCACAAGCAAAACCAGCCTTCATGAGAGTTCCAGCTTGCAGCTGCTCCCAACAGGCATCAGATTTTTTTTGGAAGGAGGGATGTGAAGAATTATTGACTGAGACCCTTTCTGTCACATTGGGATAGTCTTTTGACAGCACCGCCTCATGTGAGAGATTCCTCTTCCAGCATGAAAATGACACAAGTGTTTTCCCTCCCATTGACTTTTCCACATCTTGAAAAAATGTCCCTTAGCATGCACACCACATACACAGAAGGACTCACTGATGGATCAAAAAGGTGAAAGCAACCCATCTAGTGCTTTGCCTTCTAAAAGTCCTTGCAACATTGTAGCACATATTGTAATCACCTTGGATGCAAGAAGAAAAAAAATTTGAGGTCTCTCCTTCTCATGTTTAAGAGTGTGACAGGCAAGAGCTGACATCACCGGCTACAAAGTCTAACTCATAAGCAGATTTACCTGTGCAATGTTTTGTGATATTTAGTTTGATGGCATATGAAGAGTTCTAAAAGAGGATGGATAAAGTACCAATAATAGACAAGAACCATAATAGTAATAATCAATCATCCAGCTCTTTCAGGGACAAGGTCAAATGAAGATACCTAGGAGAGAAACAACTTGATACCTTCTATCCTCTGGAACTGATGTAAGACTTTTTTTAATTGGCTCATGTATTTAGAATCAAGAGTTATTGCCAGTAGGATTTAGAAGGTTTATTTTTAGCTGCATGTTTGTATTTTGATCTTTTACAGATATCACAAACCACCAAGAAATGGATAGTTCAGACTGTAAAGCCAGATAGGAGGTAGATCATTTTCCACAGGTCCTTGACATCAGTGGTTCTGCTGTTCCCTTTCAAGGAGTTCATACAAAGAGGTTGTTAAAAGCAAGATTGCTGAGTTAGAATCATGCTACAAGGACACAGATGTCTGTGTTCTAATAAGAACTACACAAAACACCACTCATCCTTACAGCCTACGTTTTAAAACAGCCAGGCCTTAATATTCAGGTTGTTTCCACATGTTTGTCTTGTAAAAAACATGTCTAAACCTCATGGCTCTATATGAATATTATTAATGAGGAACAGAAAAACACAGAAGATGAATGTGTGTGTTAGGTTTTGTAGAGTCAGGGTAGTTTAAGAAATTTAACTGTAATGTTACCTGAAAGAATTTATGTGCAGGTACTTGTATATTCAGGAAAACTGTACTTGAGTCAAAGCTGTCATCCACATCTAATAAATAGGCTGCAGCAGAAGGAGCAATGAGACACAGGGCCATTCAGTGAGTTCCTTCTCTCTCTGAACTACACATAACACCATTCATCCTTGTTAAAGGTAAAGGTATAGGTTCCCCTTGACATTTTTAGTCCAGTCGTGCCCAACTCTAGGGGGCGGTGCTCATCCCGTTTTCAAGCCGTAGAGCCAGAGCTTGTCTGAAGACAGTTTTCCGTTGCCACGTGGCCAGCGTGACTAGGGAATGCCGTTTTACCTTCCCACTGAGGTGGTACCTATTTATCTACTCGTATTTGCATGCTTTCAAACTGCCAGGTTGGCGAGGAGCTGGGACAAAGCGACAGGGGCTCACTCCGTCACGTGGATTCAATCTTACAACTGCTGACCAGCAGGACAGGCTTCTGCGGTTTAACCCACACGACTTACTGACCAGCAGGACAGGCTTGTGCGGTTTAGCCCACAGCACCACCACGTTCCCCTTCATCCTTGTTAGCAGCTTCTATAAAACCTTTAAGGTTTGGTGCTTGTGTTTATTTGTATTTCTCTTCCTCTTTATCCCTTTTTCCTTTTGTGTCATGTTATTTATACTTTAAGTCAACAAGGCAGGGACTATCTTGTTTTACTGATTACAAACTATCTGAGAGCCCTTTTAGCTACAGAGCAGTATGAATGGTGCCTTAAATAAAAGTCATTAATTCATACATCTCCCACCAAGACATCATTCAGTCTGGAGACTGAAGTCTGTAAGAGAATGGAATCCATGCACATAGTCATAGAAGGGGACATGTCCCTTTGTTAATTTGGTGTGCTAAGCTCCAGCAGTTCTCCCACTGCAGTTTATCACTGAAGAGGTCTTTCTGCATTTTGTGGCTGTCCGGCTCACTATATCTATTACACATGCAGTGAAGGCTTCAGTTGTATCCATCCATTGCTTCTTTCATCCATTCTTTACTAGAATCAGCTTAGGGTGTGGCTACATTACAGGCAGAAGGTTTTGGAACAGTTGGGCTTGATTACATCATTGTGATCAAGCCTTCCCATTCACATGGAAATTACTCCTGCAGCCCATCTTTCTGCTTTCTCTTAAAGGGCTGGTTGAGAAACCACCTGCAGATGAAGCCACTGTCATGGATTTGACTGTGGGCAGTTTCTCATCTGGCCCATTAAGACATGGCAAAGATTTTTCATTTTTTAAAATAACTGATGCAGAGCATCAATTATATTACATAGCTTTAAAATCACTTATCCTGCCCCTCAGTCAAGGAGCAGAGGAAGTGATTGATTTGCTACTATCCTGAGTGGCTCATTTATTAAACCACTTCACAAAATTGGCATATTCAAACCAGAAAACTTCCTTTGAATTGGTTCCAGAAATACGTCTTCTGGGACTGATTCAAATCAGAGTTGTCCTACCCTTACCTACAAAGTAAAAGCCCCTGACAGGTTTTCAGAAAGATAGAGATACAGGGTCAATCTGGAGTCATTCTAGTTCGCTTTGATGAAGACATTGACAAAATATTTGTACTGGTGCTGAACTCTGGGGCCAGCCATACTACAAGGCCGGGAGCAACCACAGGGTGTTGGGGGACGGAACTGTAGGTGTGTCACATGATCTCGCTTGACTGCCTAAGCTAGCCTGCTGTCCTGAAATTGGGTGGAGCATGCTTTTCTATTGTCAACAATGAAATATGATTCATGTATGGATCGAGTTGACTTTGATGGACGGAATGGGAAGTGCTCCATCTTGTCTTTCCCCTCAGGCATGATTAAAATGTATTGAGCTAACGTATATCTTAACCAAATCAGCTGCTTTCTGTACATTTACACCATGCTCTGGGATCAGGTTCTAGTGCTTTCTATTAATTTCTTGGTCCAATGCAAATGGATGTCATTCAGTCTATTAGTTGTTTCTATTCTGGTTTATAACTAGAAATATAATAATATAAGGACTGGAGGACAGAAGTATATGCTGTGAGCCTCAGCTAGACAGAATTTCCATACGTTCTGCTTGCTTCTCTTCTCTTGGGCTTGAAAGATTTATTTCCCTCAACGTTCTTTGAATATTAGCTTGATAATGTGGTTTGATGAAGAAACAGCAGGAGCTCCCGGGCTAGAAAGAAATATCTCCTGGAATGTATGGAATTTACCACTGAACTTGACTCATCAGTAGAGTTCCTTGAAATACTTTATCATTTCTTTTTAAGGAAAAAAAGTGTGTATCTTGTAGAAGAAGCAATTTTGACCATTCCTTGGGTGATACTCTAAGAATGTAGTCTTCTTAGTATGTCAGGACTAAGATAGTGTCAAGGAAAAGACCTATTCCTGCTTTATATTTGGTTTATTCTTTAGTTTATAACAACCGGAGAGTCATCACTTTATACATCTTTTTTCTCTCTCTTTCCAACATGATATGTCCTTGAATCCTTCTTGTATTAGCATGTAAATAACCGAAAATAGAGGTGCTTGCTGTGTATCTGCCAATGGCAGGCCTCTGTAAAAGCTCACAGATGCCTTCTTGAAAATTTCATCTTTTCTTGTGTTACATCATGCAAGCAACAAAACAATTAATCCACCAGTAGAACTGTTATTTCCTTAAGCATGTGCTTTCACTCAGTTGTATCTTTCATTCCAGCAAGCTTTGTTTTGCAATTGGTTATTGAAAAAGTTTATTTGCATGTTTGGTGGTGCTAGCAATTAGCTCGTGGAGAATTCCTTGTTGGAGAAAGAATGCACTTATCATAGGGAACAGGGAATCTCCTTCACTTCTAGTTTGTCCCCAAGTTATTCATGCTTTAGCAGTATTGAAATCAATGGGATGAGTTTGATATGATTAATTTGCATTCAGCTGGTATCGGTGTGAATAAAGCATGATTTATTTAGCGTGGATTTGATCCAATAGGTTGGATCCAATGGGTACTCTGCAGAAGCAGAAATTACTTCCCTTCTCTCAAGGTGGCCACTTCCAGTCTTCAGGAACAGATTTTGAAGAAATGCAGAAAAGGCTGCAATGAATATGGGCGACTGACAAAAATACCAAAAATACTATTTTGGAAAAGTGGAATTATGCTAAAGCAAGACTGCTGCTTAATACAATACTTTGTTATTTTTTTAAAATCAGAAGATATTTAGATGTGGGAGTAGGCTAGGCAAAAGTCAAAGATAATTGTTATCATTTTTTAAAAAATGTAAAATATATTGATATTCTTGTGCCCTTCTTTTTTTCTCTCTGTTAGATTTGTTTGCTTTGAAGAACTTTCACCCATATAGGAGGCAAGGAGAATCCAAAAAGGCACTCCCATCTTCTTCAACTTAAACAACTGGATTGAAAAGAAATGTAAGAAAGTAATAAGTCTATTTGTCAGCCCTAAAAGTCTGCAGTTCCTCTTCAGAATAAGAGAAATGCACCACCAACACTTGGTGCCACTTCTGTGTCTGCACTCAAGATCCTGTTGGGCAAGCCGGAGAAGGGATTAGTGTGCTAAAGCACCCATTCTCCTTCCTGGACAGTTCTACTGGCGTGATCAAAATCATACAGGCAATTCTTTTCCTGAGCTGGAATCAAAGGCTGATGCCAACAGCAAATCGATGAAGTTCTGAACCTGGCTCTGGAAAAGCGAAGAAAGTAAGAAAATGCTGCAGGCAACCTTACTGCAAGCATGTCTCCAGTCTCAAGCCAACAGAGCTGGATCACCTAGGGCGAAGCAAAATTCTCACAGCTTTCTGAAGCCCAAGTCAGACTCCAGAGAAGGCTACGGCTGCTCAGGAAGGCTGCAAGGAAAGGAGAAAGAAAGCAGCCCAAGACTCCTGCAAGTTGCGAAGAGTTTCCCCGCAAATCCAAAAGAACAAGAGATGAAAGAGTCACCAAGTGAGGATGTTCTGGGAGGATCCTGGAGAGCCAATGGAGAAGTGCTGCCATCCAGCAGAGGCAGCGGTGGTTTGGCCAAGGGTGGGTGTCCAGTGACAAGGGACCCTTCAAGCTCTGCTTCTGAATTGCTGACTTCTGGCTTGAGCAACAAGGGTGACCAGAGTCAAGAATGGAAAGTCGTGAAAGTGAAAAGAGTCCTTATTTCTCCTGTTGGCGAACCTGGGAAACCAAGTAAGGAAGATTCCATTTCATTCTCTCACATGCATTTGTCATAAAAAAGAGTGCTAAAGAAAACATTAGATGATCTGTCAATGCGGGTGGGGGGGGAGAGCTCTTTTCTTCAATGCCCGGTATGTGTCTCTCTCTCTGTGCGAGGGGAGTGAATTTGCAAGGAAAGCAGCTGGAGAGGAGGTTCAAACCTCCCCTGCCTGCCTGCTGATACAGATCCAGGGTGCATAAGCTGCATTGCTGTTAGTCCATTCACATGTGCAAGTCATTCTTCTTGCAATCATCAAGGACATTTCAAGTGTCAAACTGTGGGTGAGAAGGCATGTGAGGGACAGTGACTAACACAGACCTGGCACAGAGTGCTTCCAGACAGGAAGTTCCTAGCAGTGCCAGGAAAGCACCTAGAGTAGCAAAGTCTATGACGCATGGATTGCATTGAGGGACGTTTTTCTTTTTCTTCTTTGCACAGGCAAACCCTTCTTGGGTTACTTAAGTAAAACCTATCTGCGCGTCAACTTCTCCATTGCTATTATCTGTGTCACAAATGGGATGCAGAGAGGGTGTATCCTCTCTAGCATGAACTCTCTCATGCAGCTTATTTTGGCCTCATTGAGTATGTCATAAAACTGAAAGAAACAGGAGGATTGGAGAAATCTGACACTCTCAAGTCCAGTGTTGGCAAATCAAATACAGTGAGGCCAGAGAACATTATCAGTGTAGTTGCTTTGGTTGGATCAGACTAAAGCTTTATCAAAAAGCTCATTGGTTTAGGGATCTGGCTGAAAAGCCAGAGGTTGGGAGTTCAATTCCCCACTGTGCCACCTTGACAAGGGTTAGACTCGATGATCCATAGGGTCCATACCAGCTCTGTAGTTCTAAGATGATGATGATGATGATGAATCCAGCTCACTGACTCAAGCGTAGCTTTAAGGATGCCATTATTTTGTTAATCTGTGTTTCTGCAATTGCTTCTCATAAGGCTCAGTCCCCAAACTAGCCTTATATATGAACACTGAAATAAATAACAGGGAATTTGGTGACATGGTAGCAATTATTATGGCATAAGCTTTCACAGGCTGCACAAAGCATGCAGAGATTTGGTGACATGGTAGCAATTAACAACTTTTATTATGGCATAAGCTTTCACAGGCTGCACAAAGCATGCAGAAATACGTAGTGCTGTCTAGGGTTACTGTTCCACATAACTGCCAAGTGGAGTGGATTGCAAGCAATGAAATCAGTGGAAAATTAAATGCATAAAGCAAAGACAATGATAATTACATTATAAATGATGAGAATTCACAAAAAGCAATTGTTAGTGACACCAAGAAGTGAAACAAACACAATGGTTCTTGCATTTTGGACCAGTGACAGCAAGGTGGAACGACATGTGACATGTAATATATGACATGTAACATGGAGATGCCACCCAAAATGCATGGGAAAAAATGATTATATTGACACGCCAAAGCCACTTATAATGAGGAGCGGTAAGAAGATATTCTATGTCCGTTGTTTGGCTCTTCAGCATGTTACCAGATTCAAATGCCTTAACAACTCTTAGACCATCACATTTTTGTGAGTAGCTTCAGCATGTTACCAGATTCAATTGCCTCAACAACTCTTAGACCATCACATTTTTGTGATGTTCTTGTACTCCCTACCACTGCCCTTCCCATGAAGGAAGACTTACCTTCATGTCAACATCACCCCCTTGTATATGATGCACCCCTCACAGTATATGCCAGTGAAACAGAGTGCAGGTAGGATGAGAAAAAAAACATGTATTGTAATATCACAACATACTTCATGAGAGGTCCCATGAAGTATGAGGAAGGAGTGACCTGAGGATTCAGTTTTCATTGGTGTCCTTACAGCATAAAATGTAGAACCATGTTTAAAGAGTTTGAAAATGAAGGAAATGTCAGGCTTCTTGGAGGGCTTCCTTCTTCAAAGACAAGAAAAAATTTGGACTAATGTTGTTTCTGGGATCCCTCTGGGATTAGGAGCCCTGAATCTTAAGTGTTGTTACTTTCATAGTAGATCCACCCCTAGCCAAAATGGCTAGTTAAGACTCTGCTCTCTCCTGCCTGTCTACAAACAACAGTTCTGCCTATCCATATGGCCATGCCATCCTGGTGCCCAGAAGGCCTGGACCCAGTAATAGTTTATGGGTACAATTGCCAGTTGTGGGTTTACAGTATATGAGGATGTGGCTGGTTCTGTGACAGTTTGAGATAAAATAATTCCCTCTTCGTTTGACTGATAATTTGCCAAAATATGGAGAGAGAGAGAGAGAGAGAGTAACAGACCTTAGAAAAGGCACAACTCTCAGAGTCACCATTCCCCTGCTGACTTGGGGATTCTGGGAGTCTTTAGAGTAGTCTAAAAAAGTAATTTTTCCAGGCTTTGCAGGGGAGTGATCCACTTGACTGGCTAGAAAGAGGAACAGCAGGAGAACTGTCTTGTGACTTCAAGAGAGGTACTGCCCAGCCATAAATCTGTATTTTAGGCCACAGACTGAGACCCAACTGCACTCTTTACTCCCAAAGATATTTTGGTGGTAATCTAAGCAGGATACTGTTATTCTCTTGCTGGAAGTATGAGTAACAGAAGCGGACAAACCCTTTCCAAAATAGTCAGGTTACTTTTTAAGAGTCCAGGCTGGCAGGCATGCTGGAATTGTGGTCTGTTTTTTTTTTTTTAAAGTTAAATAGAAACCCACCCTGGATCTTTTAAAAATGAAACTCAAACAGCAGAGCCTTCTACGATTCCAAACCAATGACAGATGTAGAAGTCAGAGTATGTGGCGTAAGGTACTTATCCTGAAGTATGAGGATTTTGCACTGCTAGCCTTGTTCGTGATTAACGTTTTCAAATGGCGCTGGACTAGAAAATGGAGAGGCTTCCATTTGAAAGCATGACTGGATGGTTTTGAAATGCTGTAGAATGGACGGAAATAAACCTAGCAATGGTTTATTTTGCACCTTCATTGGCCTTCCACGTTTGGCATCCATCGTAAAGCTAAGCAACATTACAATGAAAAGGACTAAAGAAGACTTCTGTGGCAATTGTACAGTAAGGATGGTTTTGTGAATGATATCGATCTCACACATCAGTGGTGGCTGCTGTACATATGCTTTGAAGTGTTGAACAGGAACTGTTCAGAGACACCAGCTCCATGAATGTTGGTTGGTTGCCAGAAACCCCTACATGGGTCTGCTCCTTGCTTCTGCCACATTTGCTGTTTGCATGGCAAATCTCCTTTGTGCCATGTGTGGATGGACCTTTATTGGGCATGGGTGGATTTGTTGTTGAAATATCAGTGGCTGCCTCCATATCATCTCAGTCTACAGACTTCACTGCCTTATTGTGTATTGGTGTTGCATAGAAACGCTACCAGTAAGAGCATTTAGATAGAGGGTTGTTCTAAAACGTTTACTGCTTCAAGTAAAGGGCAAGATGATTCCTCCTGCCTGTCCTATGTGCAGAAGGTGACTTCATCATACTTGCTCACCTGGTGGGTCTACTCTAAGGGAAGGAAGCAGAGTGGCTTAGGAGGCCTTGTGGCACACGTGGCACTAGCCTCCAGCATCTTGCTGCTGCTTCTGATACAGCAACATCTGCCAGCTTAGGCAGCTGCTTCCCTCTGCTTAATGGTAAGGCTAGAGGAGGAATTCCGGAAGCAACGATTAGAACTGGAGATGGAACAACTGATTGGTTCAAAATTGGGAAAGGAGAACGGCAAGGCTGTATATTGTCCCCCAGCTCATTTAACTTATATGCCGAATACATCCTGCAGAAGGATGGGCTCGATGAATCCCAAGGTGGAATCAAGATTGCCAGAAGAAATATCAACAACCTCAGATATGCAGATGATACGACTCTGATGGCAGAAAGTGAGGAGGAATTAAAGACCCTCTTAATGAGGGTGAAAGAGGAGAGCGCAAAAAACGGTCTGAAGCTCAACATCAAAAAAAAAAAACAACTAAGATCATGGCCATTGGTCCCATCACCTCCTGGCAAATAGAAGGGGAAGATACGGAGGCAGTGACAGATTTTCCTTGCTTGGGCTCCATGATCACTACAGATGGTGACAGCAGCCACGAAATTAAAAGACGTCTGCTTCGTGGGAGGAAAGCGATGACAAACCTAGACAGCATCTTAGAAAGCGGAGACCTCACCTTGCCGACAAAGGTTTGCATAGTTAAAGCTATGGTTTTTCCAGTAGCGATGTACAGAAGTGAGAGCTGGACCATAAAGGGCGACCGCCAAAGAATTGATGCTTTTGCATTGTGGTGCTAGAGGAGCCTCTAGAGAGTCCCCTGGACTGCAAGGAAAACAAACCTGTCAGTTTTGAAGGAAATCAACCCTGAATGCTCACTGGAAGGACAGATCCTGAAGCGGAGGCTCCAATACTTTGGCCATCTCATGAGAAATCTCCCTGGAAAAGACCTGATGTTGGGAAAGCGTGAAGGCATGGTTGGACACGACCAGCATGAATTTGACCCAGCTCCGGGAGGCAGTGGAAGACAGGAGGGCCTGGTGTTCTCTGGTCCATGGGGTCACGAAGAGTCGGACAGGACTTAATGGCTAAACAGCAACAACAAAAGAGGAGGAATTAGGGCTGGAAAACCATTCATACACCCTATCTCCTATCCAAGTCTGATTTAAATGTATAGGAGGAATCATGATCATCCCAGAGTGTAGGCCACCTAATAATGGGCTCAAGCTACAGGAAGCCAGATTTAGGGTGAATATCAGGGAAAACATTAACTATTAGAACAGTACAACAATGGAACGACTTACCTCAGGAAATGGTGAGCACTCCAATGCCGGAGGCATTCAAAGAGAAAACTGGGGAACCATCTGTCAGATCTGCTCTGGTTTTGATTCCTGTCTTGAGCAGAAGGCTGGCCTCGATGGCCTTTTTAGCCCCTTCCAACTCTTTGATTCTATGAAACCCCAAGGATCATCTCCTCGATCCCCCACCAATGCTGGAT